GCCAGTCACAGTTCTATCAGAGCTCTCTCAGGCCCAGCTCCTTCACAAGGTCTCTGTTGTGGAGAAAGGGAGGCAATTGTAAGCCGCTTTGAGACTCCTTAAGAAAAGCAGGATATAAATTACAAGGTCCTTTCCGCATCTGCCTTCCACTCTGGAATTTCTCAGTGTTCTCAGTCCACGGCAAAACAGCATCCAAATAACTGGGGACAACAGCAGGCTGAAACCGGGCTGACCACTGGAGGGAGATAATGTAATGCAGAATGGGGGGGGGACCCCGAATAAAAAGAAGGCTGAACTCGATTTTAGTGCAGAATGGGGGGGAAACCTGGATTAAAAAGGCTGAATTCGATTTTAAGTGCAGAATTGCTTGGAGGCACAGCAGTGAACACGGATTAAAAGGAGAGTGCTGAAAGGGCCCAACTCTTCTTCCTGAAATGGACCCAACAGTAGCGATAGTTACAGATGGAGTGAAACTTATTTTTTAATTTATTATAATTATTGCAGCTTATATACATACTTTTACATTAAATCATTGTGCTATCCTTTTACCCCTCCCTCCTTTATAGTATCTTCATATTTTTAACCATGTGCACAGATTCTTCATTCGTATTTGGATATTTGGATTGGCTTCCCCCCTTTCCACCCATTCCTTATATCCCACCCATTTATTTGTAATCTTTTGACATTTCTCCTCCCATGTCTCTTCAGTAATTATCTGTGCGAATATATCTGATTGTACGCGTTCAAAGACATAATTATTCCAATTTTCCATTGTCCATTTATGCCTATCCCTCCATCCCAATGCTATTACAGCCATCTCGGCTAAAACCATAATTTTATATAACTCCCATTAATTTCTTCCCACTTTTTTATTTCCCAATATTCCCGAAATAAGCAAGTCCCTATTAATCTCTATATTAACTTGAAATAAATCATAGATAACCCTTACAATCTTTTGCCAAAATTCCTTAACCACTTTACATTCCCACCACATATGGGCGTATAGACCTACTTCTTGGCCACAGTGCCAACACTTTGGATTCGTTCCTTTAATCATATACGCTATCTGAGCCGGAGTTCTATACCATTTCCATATAAATTTCCTCACCAATTCTTTATCTCTATCTATTTTAATTTGGTTTATACCCTTCATTATTTCTTGAGTCACTTCCTGATGCATTAACCCTTCTCCCTCCCATTTATTCTGTATGAAACTTGTGAGGAATTAATACATTACATACAAAACAATCCTAAAGCAAACACACACAATTGCTGGTAGACAGCCCCCGTGTGCCAGTTTACTGTGGACAGCTGACTTCTCCGAAACGAGAACCAGTTTGGAAGTCAGAGCGGACAGACAAGAGTGAAGGGGAACAAATGCTGTGTGAACGTGTTCTAGGAATGGCAACTGGTAACGTGTGGGCTGTTGTGTCCTGGAACCGCCACCAGGCAGTAGCCAGGCGGGCAGAGCTTGATTCCCAAAAGAACAATAGGGACGAGGCTCCTAAGGTCCACTAGGGGAACCAATAGAAACCTTGGCGGGAGATTCAAACCCCCCAATGGAATCTAGGGGTGTTCCCTTGGAAGTGTATATAGTTGGCCACTTGGCCGTTGTCTTTGTAGTGTGAAAGTACTGAGTGAACGCGTGTTTCTTATGTTGTGGTCCGAGTCATGATGTATCGAACCGAGTACTAATCCAACCTTAACAGGGAATGTTGCCTGCATGTGTAACCACCATCATGTTGCAGCCATCTAACGGCAACCCCACAGGGTTTTCAAGGCAAGAGGCATTCGCGGGTGGTTTGATATTGCCTGCCTCTGCAAAGAGACCCTGGGCTTCCTCGGTGGCCTCCCATCCAATCACGAACGCTTCCCAGATCTGATGCGATCAGGCTAGCCTATCCCGATGCAGAGGCGCATCTCACAGTACGAAATCACCTGGAAAGGGGGTGCTCCCTCTGTGCACGATTAAGGCGGGGCGACCGTTACCCATTTTTGCGAACTCTTGTTAAAAAAAACAACCCAAAATTAAAAAAACCCTGCTGCCCAATGAATCAAAAATACGTTCTCAAGCATTTAAAATATTTTAATTAATTAATCCAAGCAATCAGTCGACTAAACAATCATTTGCAATCTTTTATTCATATATAGCACCTTGAGTGTGTGCGCATAACGCTTCCCATACAGTTGAGCATCTTCAGGACTGTTTACAATGAATCAGTAAGGTTGGTTGGTATTTTTACTCCCAGTGTGTACACAGGAGGGGCAGAGACAGAGGATTTCCTTAAGGCCACCCAGCAAGTCTGTGACTGTAGTTACATCTGAACCCAGGACTCTGCAGCTCATCCTCTCAATTTTTACCCTAATGCCAGTTCTGTAAGGTATAGAAAATACAGAAAACTGTAGTACAGGATTGGCCAAAAGGTCAGTTTGGCCCTGCTCACGTCTTTTTCAGATTTTCTAACCAAACTGAGAAGCCTCCCACAACTACACCAATATAATTTACCCTCCCTTACCCCCCCCCTCCCAAAAGTGGAACATTTGATTTTCCTAACTTAAGGGAAGTATCTAATCCTTCATCTGCTAATCACAAGAGAGTCGCGATAGCTGCCAATCTCATAGGTTGACCAGGAGGGTTTTTTTTAAATGTCCTAACAGCCCTCCCCAAAAGTGGAACATTTGATTTTCCTAATTTAAGGAAGTATCTAATCCTTCATCTGCTAATCACAAGAGAGCCGCGATAGCTGCCAATCTCATATGTTGACCGGGAGGGTGTTTTTTTGTTTTGTTTTTAATGTCCTAACAGATCGTTTGGGGGATTTAACTGATGAGACGAATTGAATCTGGATCAATTTGCATCCAGAGGAATCCCACAAAAACCACAGTGTCTTGAACAGCTGGAAAGCGCGAAGCAAAATCTGCAAAGCGGCTCTGAAGAAAAGGCCTCACATTCTGACTTGGCCACATAGAAGGAAGCCCTCGGTCAAGAACAGCAACTTGGGTATATGGAGGACGCTCCTTGCCCAGAAACTAGAGTGCTGGGCGGAAGTGAAGGCAGCATCGACCCCACAGCCAGCCCGTGCGGATCAATGGGGCCGACTCTTTGGAAAAACAAAATTATATTCTCAGCACTCAGGGCCGTTTCTGAGTCGCACTGATGGGCAGTTTCTGGAGAAATTCCCACTGATAGCTAAACTGTACATATTGCTGTTAGATATTGGAAGTTTGGTAAATGTTAACATTTACCAATAGTCCTTCATAGAACTGAGGAAAGGCAGAAGATCTTGAAATTTACCAGCACCTTAAATTAAGCATCCAAGCAACCACTTCCTTTCCATCTCTCTCAATGCTGGCCGTTTATTAATAATATGCCCTGGGAACATCAAAAAACAAGTGGTCACGACACAAACATTTCTGACGTTTCCCAGCAGGCCTTCTAAAATTACTGGTAAATGTCAACGTTTGCCGATTTCCTTACAATTTACTCATAAAGGACCCCTGTGCACGGTTATTAATGGAAGTGTAATGGAGAATGTGCATGCACACTAATGGTTGTGCACGTAGGCTGGTCCCACAACAGCGATGGTTTTCTGCACGGCTCTTGCTGCTGGTCTGAATGCAGAGGGCCTCTTGCAATGGCAAAGAAGCTTCCCCATGGGCTCTTTCCCCCACATTCCCCTTTCTTCTGCTTCCTCTGGTCTCCCTTTCCCTTCTGCCATTGGAGGGCTTTTCTCAAAAATCAGTGACAGCACAATAATATTACCATGATCTACAGCTGCAATCTACCAGACCCAAGGTTTGTTGGGGTTTTTTTTTAAACAAGTCACTATCCAGCGCATTTCATTGCATAGATATAAGGGGAAAGGTGTACCATATCTCAGCAAAGGAAAGACTTTTTAAAAATGAAAGTTGGCAACTGGATCGTGACAATAGAGCATTATACCATTATTGCACTACAGCAATCTAGCAGCTGCAGATTTTTTTTAAAAAAGGCCCCTAGTTTGCCAGTGCGGGGAAGGAGGACGGCAGGAGCTGAGACGAAACCTTCAAAAATGTGCACAATCCCATCCACATGGTGCACCAAAAAGCAGCTGAACTGTGCTCCTTCAATAAAAGATTATTATCTTTCCTAATCTCAAACCAGAAGGATCTCAGCAAAGCAAGGGGATACGTGGACCGTTAGGAGATGCCGCCGTGTGGGTGCTCCACACCCCCCAAAGCACATCAAAACCTCCATGTGGAAGCCACCAGTCACATGACGGCATGGAGAAAGTGTAACAAGAATGGATATAATCAACAGAGGAATCTCACACCAACCGAGTCTTCAAGTAACACAGGGCAATGTGCAGAACTGGACGATGCTAACTGGGTGGCATCCACAGCAACCAGTCAACTTGAGCATTGTGCACTTGGGGACTTCCCAGTGTACAATGTAAAAAATGTGCCTGATCAATCCACCCTGTCCATAAGCAGCTGCCAATTTCTACATATGGAGCAAGCAATGCATAACATCCTCTGTCAACCAGTGCACACTCTCTGCAGGCACCGGCATGGATGCACGTTCTCCAGTAACTGACATCACCCGCAATGTATACCACTGAAGAATAGCTCACGGGAACGTAAGCTTGGTCGCGGAAGGCCTTGTGAACAGGCAGGAGCGGATCGGCCATTTAGCTTACCGAGAAAGTTCCTGCTGGGGGGGGGGGGAAATCACCAGTGGCCGGGAGTAATCCGAGCCAAGGGCCCCATTTGGTACTGGCAGTGCCGCAAGTGTCAATCAACTCAGACCGCAATAATGACAACAACAGGTTTAGGCATGCCCACTGTG